AACTGTGTCTTTCCTGAACTAAAAAGACACAAAAAAAAAAAAAAAAAAAAAGTCATTCATATTAGACAGATTGCTTTCATTTAAAAAAAACAACAAATTTTTTTTTTTTTTTTTCCTTTTTTCTCCCTTCTTTTTTTCCTTTTTTTTTTTTCCCCTTTTTTCCCCCTTCCATGACATTTCCTTCCCCCAGGCAATAACGCCCCTTCCCAGCCTGACACCGACCGGCCCGCAGGGTCACGGCGGGATCTCCCCCTGAGCCCCGGGGCCGCGGCTCCACCTGAGGAGGGTGAAGCCCGGGGAGTGATGGATGAGCTTCAGAGAGGGAGCTTTTCCAAACAGGGAGATAGAAAATCTGGGGACAGCTGCAAAATCAATGAGAACCTGACATTTCTGTCTTCTTTCAGTGGAGGCAGAGACAGGGGCAGTCGGTGGGCAGGGGCAGCTTCCCGGGGGGCAGGGCTGCTGTTTCTTCAGCTCCCATTGATTTCCAATAGGAGCTCACTGACATTTCTCCTAGCACCCAGAGTGCTAAGAAGGTGTTTATTTGCTTGTTTTAATCCCTCTGCAAAGTGCTTTTGTCCCAACTGTCATCCAGTTCTCTCTGGCACATACAAAGTGGTGAAACTCTTGTTGACTCACAGGAGCAGAATTCAACCCTAGAAAAATACTGTATTGAAAACTTGCTTGTAATTTGCTGCAAAGTTAAAACACACACCCGTGTAACCCTGCTTTCCTGCCCTGCATTGCTCGTGAATGTGTGTGGCTCTTTCCAGAGCTACCCTAGCAGCTCCCTGGATATTCAAAGCTGTATCAAGAAAGCAGCTGGCTCAAACAGGATTCGAGTGCTGGTGAGGGAGAAGAATCCAAACTGAACTATTGTCAGGCAGGGATTTGCTTGATCTCGCTGCAAAGTTTGATGGAGATTTTTCATTTCACTGGAATCACTGGCCCATCCCATGCCAGAGCTCTGCATTCCTCCATGGCAGCTGGACCAGCAGCTGGGAATGCAGGCAGATACTTTAACAGGGCCAAATCTTGCCTGGATGGCAGGCAGGGGGATTGACTGCCACAGACTCCAAGTAAAAGCTGGGTTTGGCATAAATAGATCATCTCTGAGAGTTAGGTTGCATGCAGCTTTTGCAGTCCCATCTCCTTTTTGTTTTGAACCTGCTCTCTGGGCTGGTTTGGTTTTTTGGCCAGGACAGAGGGCCAAAGGAGAACAGAATAGATGCTTTGTGGTCTGATTTGTTTTGGGTCATCACCCGAGGTGGCAGAGATAAGCAGAATGATACACTTTTCTAAACAGAATTATTTAATCTCTTCAGTAAACACCTGATTTCAACTTCCCTTCTTTCCTTCCAATAGAGGAATATTTGTTTGAGCAATGAGTCCAGGGGACACTTGAAACTTACTCCTATCAAACACTTGAAAGAGAGTTTGCTGCTCTGCAGCAGGGGAAGGCTTGTTCTCTGAGCCAGAGCCACTTGTGTCCTCTGATGCTCTGCCCTTGCCATGCACTGAGTCTCTTCTGGACACCCCCAGGAGCTGGCAGAGCCCTGGGTGCCTGGTGGGTTTGGGTCTGGAGCGTCTGACAACCATGATCCATCAGAATGGGAGCAGGAAGGTGCAGGACTCTGCAATACTGATGTTTCCCCTTTGTCTGCACACCCGAGATACAAATTTATCAGCAGGGTGGGTGAGAAGCTACCAGAAGAAGGGGTGAATTTTCCATTTCTCCAGATGTCTAAGTAAGGAATGCAAGTGCCTTTCTGGAAGACCTATTTTAATCAAATAGAAATATGGAGCTCAGTGCATAATTGCTGTCAGAATAAGTCCTCAGGGACCTATTACACACAAAGCCAAGTCATCAAGGATCAAATTGTCTTTCATGAACTTCCAAACCTGTTAATCTCCGTGTGTTTTTCTTGTAATATCCTAAAAAGTATTGATATGAAAATGATTAATAATGCACTTCATGTGCAAAATCTCCCCTCTGGGTGCATTTGTGCTAGTGCACAAAAACATACCCAGCCAGCTTAACCTATAGCTCCATTTGGCATTTTACTGCTTCTTTTGAATAGGAATTGTTTTCCAGGCACTCAGTGCCTAATTTTAGCATTTCCTAACAAAACTGTCCACTTGTTAGGAAATAGGTAATAGCAGTTCACATGATGAAGGCTGTTTGAATAGCCACGTCCAGTAGCTTTTTTATAAACCCTTTGGTGCAGTCAGTGAATAGCTGGTACCCCTGGCTTGGTTGTGAAGGTCAGTGTTGGGGGGGGGAGTTGGAAGCTGTTGCCTTGGCAGATTGGGAGGTGGATCTCAGTGCTTTGTTCAGCTTGTGACAGGCTTCAGAACTCAGTGCTGGCTGGGCAAAAGGGAGGCAGGGAGTGTCTGGAAGCAGAAGCTCCCTGTTAGGGATTGTCACTGTGAGCTGCTGCCCTCCTGAAGAGCTGATCTGGTGGAATTTTATTGTTGAGAGTGAATTTTGCAGTTCAGAGTAGGGAATGTGGGAACTGCTGCCTTTGCCTCCTCCTCAGCATCCAGCAGCTCTGAGTGTATTGATGCTGTGGTGCACAGATCCCAGCCTTCGGATTGCTTTTAATTGTACTAATTCTTCCTGACCAGGAGAGCACTGCTGTTTCTTGTGATGTTCTTGTGTCCTGTCACCACATGGCCACTGCTCTTCCTGTTCAGCA